TCAGTAACTTCAATAGCTTGCTAGTCCCTCAAAACTGAAAAAAATTACATGTTATTGTATGCTTTTAGTTAACGTTTTCTGTCAAATTGGCATAGAAATATATCTTTAGTACGAGATCAAGGTGTTGAGCTAAACAGCAAAAAAAATAATTTAAAAATTGCCAAACTGGAGGGAAATGTCTGTTTCTTTGATTGTATTATTTTGATGAGCGCCTGATTTCACCATGCTGTCTCGCAGATTACAGTTCCTCTCTCTGTCTTATTCTGTCTCCCCCCCCCTCCCCTCGCCTCGCCCTATCGCCCCTTCACGCTCTATCTATCTATCTATCTATCTATCTATCTATCTATCTATCTATCTATCTATCTGTCTGTCTATCTATCTATCTATCTATCTATCTACGTATCATTAACCACACTCCACTCTGTCCCTCCCATTCTGTTTCAATGTGCTTATGAAAGAGCGTGTGAGTGTACACGCGCGCGTGTGTGTGTGTGTGTGTGTGTGTGTGTGTGTGTGTGTGTGTGTGTGTGTGTGTGTGTGTGTGTGTGTGTGTGTGTGTGTATGTGCGTGTGTGTCTCCTTGGCTTTGTGTGTTGCAACATCCATATTATTATCTATTAGAGCCATAACTTGACTTTAAAAACATTATTCTTTGCCGTATTCTCCTATTTCAAAAATATTTTATATTTATCTTGAAGTATGTACTACCCCAACGCAAAAACATTATTAAGTAGTATTTAATCATATTAATAGATAATCGATAACATTTGTATAGCACTTTACACGAGTTTTCCTCACTTCACCCAGGAGGGAATGGGTACCCGGCCATAGACAGCGAAAGATTTTCTCCGTATGTTAGTCTTTTAGCGCCTATAAATGGCTGCTTGCACTGTATGATTCTCAGGAAGTTAAGGTTGTTTCAGAATGCTTCAGGTCTGCTGCTGGGGTAATAGTATAGATTGTGAAGCGTATTATAGAGCGTACTGTTGAGCGGGGATTTGCCCTATACAAATGCTATCAATTATAATTATTATAATTATAATAATAATAATAAAAATAATAATAATTAGTATTATTATAACTCAATTTTTCAAAATTATTTTTGCGCATAAAGTTGGCAAATACGTTGGGCTTTTTTGTCCGTGTTAAACGACCTTCAGCGGTGTATGTGGTGTAGAGATCATTTTCTTGGCATAGCACGCAGAAGACCAGAGTTCGATTCCCTTTTAGGCCGTGTTTTAATCGAGTATCTCGGTCTTTCTTCAGGAATATTGAGTCATTTTCAGAACTTGTTGACTCTGACAGGCATGGCCGAAGCCTTTTTTTCGAAAAATGAGGTCAATTGAGTTGATGGGGGCGTAACGTATACCTGCCTCTTTTTTAAAGGCAGAAATAAATAATTAACTCTAACTATTGCAACCAAACGACTAAACTTGTCCACATCAAGTAGACACTACTCTCGTAACTGCGAAGAAGTATGTGGGTCATCGCACAAGAAGTCAGATGAGAGGAATGGCTTCGGTTTTCCAACACGGAGACTAATAGAGGAAGCCGAACAAATGACATCATCAGTTGTTGGCCTTACTAACCACGTAAACATCAGCAGATGTTTGTCTGGTTTTGACTTTAAATCTCTACCCGCTTTTTAAATACACATAAACACACACACACACACACACACACACACACACACACACACACACACACACACACACACACATACGCGCACAGAGAGAGAGAGAGAGAGAGAGAGAGAGGGGGGAGAGAGGGAGGGAGAGAGAGAGAGAGAGAGAGACAGACAGACAGACAGAGAGAGACAGAGACAGAGAGAGAGAGAGAGAGACTGGATGAAGGGGCGGGAGCAACAAAAAACCCAGAGATAACGACCCCACATTCTTCAATCCAAAATATCTCGACTTCTATTGAAGATACAAGAGTAATATTTCATCAAAAGCAAGAAAAATGAACAAGCTTTAAGATAATAACTCCATAAGCCCCAAAATTGACTAGCGCCTGATTCCACAGCGTAATAACACCAAAATAAATCCATAATAATAGTTCATTGGATGAATCTCGTTGCATGCCTTTTACGGCTTCACGTGAAGAATACTTACTTTACTTTAGTTTTATTTTTATCCGCCGCTTATACTAACCTTTTTTGTGTCACGGGAAGAAAGAGACGTCTCTCTGTCGCCAGCCGGAGAGCTTGGGTCAAGGGGATGCCGTGGGTGGTTAATGTTTCCCTGACTCCATCTATCCAGGTCTTTCTCGGTCGCCCTCTAGCCTCGTTGCCATCGAATTTATTATTTTTATGTAGGCACGTTGTGCTGGGTGGTATGGTAGTAATTGCATCAATGTCCTAACCATTTGATTCTATTGTGTTGGATGTGATGCATGACATCATTTGTGCCCACCATTTCTCTAATTTCTGTGTTTCTAATTTTGTCTCACCTGGTTTTGTTTACTGCTTTTCTAAGGCATCGCATTTCACATGTTGTAAT